GCCGCACCCCTGCCGCCCGCGTCCCGCATCCCCGGGGAGGGCGTCCAGGGCTCAGGGAGGCGGGCTGTGGACTTAGCGGAAATGAAGTTTTCCGAATTATTAATACAGATTGACTTTCTTTTCGGGTTTCCGCAGGAGTTTGGCCCAAATGAGAGAGTTATACCTCGCTTGAGGTGAATTTCCGACTCTACTTTCCAGCACTGGCTGGGTGCTCTTCAAGGAGGGTCTCTGTTTTCGGGTTGTTTCCTAGTGAACTTTGGTGCACCCTGGATTGATTACTCTGTTGACCTCATCTCCGAACTTTCCCCCTAAATCACACTTTGACCGCCAGAGTTTCTCAAAGAGACGTCAGTCTTCCTAGCCACCTCTGTGTTCTGGGTAGCTTGATTTAGTAAAGGTCGTTTTGATTTGAGTTTGAAAATGCTCGGAAGCCTTAAGCTTCTCTAGGGAAGTTTGCTTTCTCTTTCCCTTTTGCTAACATGCTGCAGGATAGAAGCCCATCCTTGCTGGTCCTATGGAAGGAACAGTAAGTTTCCTGTGCGTAGTCCTACAAGAGATTTTTTAAAGGATTCCTGTTCCTCCAGCGCAAAATGAGAAGCAGGCTTCTGGAAATCAGCATTCATTAAAAATTTATCTTATATTTGCTTCTCTCCCCCCACCCCCCCAGTCTAGTATCTTCGGGAATATTGGTTTTAATTTGAATGATTGGGCATGTTCACTGTCATGTAAATTTTAAGTCAGGTTTTATGCCCATAACAAGGATTTGTTTATGGAACATAAAGGGACAGGATCGTTTGAATGGCAGCAGTGTCTTGTGCAAAAATAATCTCAAAGGTAGAGTGCTATCGCAAACCCATTTCCTTTTGCTAAAGGGTGTGATTATGTTTATAATTGTTGAGAACTCAGCTGTTAACGTAGCGGGGAATGCTTATGTCCGCTGTTAAATAACTGCTCCTTCAAAATGCTTTGTGAGTAGGAACCAGTAACTTAAAGAGCATTTTAGGCTCTTTGGTGGAAGAACACTAAAGAAAGATAATTTGGGATGCAGACTAGCTCCGTTTTAATAAGCCTCTGATGAAACTGAAATGTGTGGTTCCCTTCCGTCTCAGGTGTGGATTTAAGTCATTTCCTGCTTGATGGGTGCTCTTTGTTTTCTGAGTGATGAGGATTCTTAAAAGAGCTGTGGATGGCCTTTTTTACATTTTAAGTCCTAATTTAGCACCTAAAAAAATTGTTTGTACTCCACATATTAGAGGAGAGCTTTTATCCTTAGGGATTTCTTAATAGCTCAGAGGATTATGTGTCCTTTGGGAACAAATTGAAAATTCTAAATAAGTAAATGGTTTAAATTTTCCTATCTACTCCAGAACCTTCAGTTTATTTTCTTAGGTAGTTTAAGTATCTGTGAGAAGACTCATTTGGAAATTTCAAGTATAACTTCATAAAGTCCTGTTTACTTAATCATTGTATGGAGGATGTTTTTTATGCTGATGGTGACATCTGTCAGTTCAATCCTAATTTATGTGATTGAAGCTCTGTGGAGAATAGAGTTGGGAGCACAGATTTGTTTGAAAGCTAAAAAGGCAGAAGTCATTCCCTAAAGACGTGCATCATATTCGGGGGTATCCTGAATTGGATAGTTTGGTATTTTTAGGGATTTATCTGTTTTTATTGTGTTTGCACTTCTGTGGTAAATTTTGTGAACATCCTTGTCCAGGCGCACAGTCACAAAAGATTTGACAGCCACTAGTTTAAGAATCTTCTCAGAAGAGTTTTCAAAACTAGCTTATAGTACTTAACCAGGAGCCCATTCAGCTTCATACTCATTAAAAGATCCCTTAAAATCACCTGAAGTAAATGTTTAATCAAAAAAAGGTCAGTTTTAAAACAAGTCTTTTATCTGCTATTAAACTGGATCTTGTTATAGGCAAGTAATTGTATTTGTGATCATGGCCCTTGTCTTGAACTTTATTACTAAAATGCATTGGGGATATGTCACAGCTAATGTCAGGTAATTGACTAATAATGTCCATAAATAATCAGAAATTAGTATCTTCTAATTGCATTTATATATATATTTTTAATATATCTTTATTGATTTCAAAGAGAGGAAGGGAGAGGGAGAGAGAGATAGAAACATCAATGATGAGAGTCACTGATAGGCTGCCTCCAGCATGCTTCCAACTGGGGATTATTCTCTCAACCCTGGCATGTGCCCTGACTAGGAATCGAACCTCTATCGCCTGGATCCTAGGTCGATGCTCAACCGCTGAGCCACGCCCATCCGGGCGCACATTTATATTTTTAACATTTATAATGTTAGGAATCATTAGCAGAGGAAAATGCCTTTTGGTGAGTCCTGTACTTTTTTTAGCATAGGACTATGTTTTTCCCTTTCTTCTTTTTTCCCTCCTTACATTCAATAAATATTGATTGAACACTTAAGTAGGTTCCAGGCACTATTTTAGGCCCTGGGGCATAGCAGTGAAAGTCTTTGCTTTCATGGATTTTATGTTTTAACGTTTAATTATTTTCTTTCGTTTCCTGTTTCTGTTAGAATTTTTATTAGGTCAGGTTGGTGAGTTTTATGACATTCTAGAAATTAAAAAAACACACACAACATCACCTTTTTATGGAGCGAAGAACCTTAATAGGGAAATAAACCAGCACATTAAAATCTAGAAATATATGACTCCTTTGGTTACTGGTAATATTGAATAACACTGTCATACACATTAAGACACTGTTCGTAACCCACGAGAGGAAGGGCGGATTAAGTTATCTGTTCCCTGGGTGACTAGGGGCAGGAACTAAAATATCTCTCCCATAAACTTGTGCCTTTGACTTCTTACACTGATATCTGACTTAACACCACAAAATAGTGCATGGACCATTTTGATTTTTTAGTACATTTATTTATTTTTTATTTTTTTAAATATATCTTTATTGATTTCAGAGAGAGGAAAGGAGAGGGAGAGAGAGAGATAGAAACATCAATGATAAGAGAGTCATTGATCGGCCGCCTAGCCCGCAACCAGGGCATGTGCCCTGACCGGGAATCGAACCCCGATTGCCTGGATCCTAGGTCGATGCTCAACTGCTGAGCCACACCCGGCTGGGCATGTACATTTAAACTTTGAAGTTTTGTGTTTAGTGACCCTACATGTTGAAGCCACATTTCTCTAATTAGTCTGGACAAAAGCATTTTTGCCATGTATTTTAAGTGGATGCGATCTCTCTCCCCTGATCACATTTATAACTGTTTAGCTCACCACCCTGTGAGAAACTGGCCTTACCTGGGCTTACCGTCATTCAGTCTTTAGTTTGGTGACCAGATGAAATGACCCACACGTGGTAGGAATATGCATAGGACATAAAAGGAGGTCAGATTGATCACTTTTATAGTGGCCTTGAACAGGGTTCTGCTCTTGCCTGTATGGTGCCTTCAGGTGAAAACAGAACAAGATGCCTCTTGGGGCAGAAGAATCCTCCCTCCTAAACAGACACAGCCTCTGGATGCAGAGCCCATGCCAGGGTGCTTGGCAGCAGGAGCATGGGCTGGCTAGGAGCCCCAGGTGGCCTTTTGTCCTGTGCAGAAACTGCACTCCTGTATGTGGTGGTCCTGGTGGTGAAGTTGAGTAATCCCTGGTGTTTCTCTATTCTCAGGCCATTTCTTGCATTTTCAGATGGAAGCAGGACTTCCAATGTATGTGTTTGGGCACAAATAGGAGAAATGAAACACATGCAAATCCATCTCCTGTGTCCCACTGAACACTGTGACGAGGGAGGGGCATGCACAGATGATAAAAACACCTCACCCTGAGGGGCACAGTCTGGTGGGAGACACAACCTGTATGTAAATACTCTTCTCCAGTGCGAGAAGTGCCATATTGGCAGCAGCATTATGAAGCCCTGTGCTATGTGGAGATTAGACAGATAGGCGCAGCCCAAGGGAAGAGTTGGCGTAAGTTTTTTTTAGGTTATAGAGGAGTTTTAATAAATAGTTTTGGGTGGGGCAAACATCATTTCAAGTGAAAATAACTTGAAAGGCATAGAAAACAATTGAAAATTGAAGGTATTTATCATAGTAATATCAGATCATGTTAGCGATAATGTAAAAGTATTTTCGGTTTTTTGAGTCTCATTCTAGTTATTAGCACATATTGAGTTTACTGTAAATCGGTGTATATGTAATGTTGGTACACTTCTTTTGTTTTATTAACTTGATTCAATTATTATTTGATGATGGGGCAGGTTTATTGCCTCTTTTTATTAAAGTGAGAGGTCCTAACTTTTAATTTTATTTTAGATTATAGCATTTGATGAGCTGAAGACTGATTACAAGAATCCTATAGACCAGTGTAATACCCTGAATCCTGTAAGTTATAATATCGGATTTTTCTTTAGATTTAAAAACTGTTTTTGCTTTTAACTTTATAATTTGAAAATGGCCAATATTCTCAGTAGCATGGTATATTTGTACTTTTTGAAACAGGCAGACTTTTAAAAAATATTCTTTTTCCTGTCCTGCTTGACTATTCTGACTATTATTAATCTGCTGGTGATCTTGTCAGCTGTCATACTAACATTCTTCCAATCTGCTTTTTACATTGTCGGCCAAAGACAGTTGAAAAGGTCAAAAAGATTAAAAGAGTCAAAATTGCATTAAAGGTGTGTACTGCTTTTTAGTTTAATGTTTTACTGCTACATTCATTTCATGGGGAGGGTTAGGGCATTTGTATTTGTAAAATGTTCTGTTCAGTGTGCTCGTTCATATGCCTGTTGAGGTTTATGATTTCATGAAATTTCATATTTTATGCAAATGCTTGCTGGCCCAGTCAAGTAGGGAAAGCTGTTAAATGCTTATGCATTTTTAAAAAATGTGATGGTCATAGGCACTTCTGTATTAAATTATTTGGTGCAGTGTTTGACAGTGGTTAACATAAAATGACTTTAATAGACAGATTATTCACCTGTTGTTACTGTAGGGCATCTGTAGTGTCCTATCTAGTTTTATCTTTGTTTATGTCTGCTCTGAAATTAATTTTTAAAAAAATATATCTTTATTGATTTCCGAGTGAGGAAGGGAGAGGGAGAGAGAGAGATAGAAACATCAACGATGAGAGAGTCATCGATAGGCTGCAGTCCGCAAGCCGGGCATGTGCCCTGACCGGGAACTGAACCCCGATTTCTTGGATCCTAGTTCGATGCTCAACCGCTGAGCCACGCCCGACTGGGCTGAAATTAATTCACTGTTTCAGCTGATGTTTATTCAGAGCCTTTTTAGGTGATAGCTCTCTTCTTCGGCTCTGGAATCTTGCAGTAATGCTGCCAGAATTTTGTGGATAGTAATTTGTATACAAGTATCTACATAGTTATTTCTAATATATATCCACTCTAAATTTCTAAAACAGACTGGTCTTACACCAGCTTCTGAGTTATGGGTTTAATTATAATGTAGCTCCATGTGCTGGGGGGTTCTCTCTCTATTTTTTACTTCATTTACTAACCTCATTTAGGAAGATTCCCCTTTAGCCTGTAGTGTTTTTTTGTTTATTTGTTTTAAAAAAAACGTTTTAAAAATATTTTTTTATTGACTTCAGAGAGAGGAAGGGAGAAAGAGAGGTAGAAACATCAATGATGAGAGAGTCATTGACTGGCTGCCCCCTGCAGGGGATCCAGCCCGCAGCCCAGGCACATGCCCTGACCAGGAATCGAACCATGATTGCTCAGCCGCTTAGCCACGCCGGCTGGGCTAGCCTGTAGATTTGATTCTCCCTAGCTGGTCAGAAACTGAAAGGTGGTTTGTAAGAAAGCAGTGGGTATGTCTTAAAGAAATAGTGTACAATAATTCATCTTTAAAGATTCCTTCATGAAGATGAGAATTTGTATAGACTTTAGTTGTGTAAAACTGTAATTCACTAGCTTGCTAGTAGGATTTTATTTGGAAAAGGGTCTATAACAGTGATTTTCAACTGGTGTGCAGCAAGAATTTTGAAAACATGCAATACCTATTTAGTCAGGGGCACTGACCTCTTTTCTCTTAGATTGTCAAATAAAAAAATAACAGCCAGCACAACAATAGCTGTCGGTGTGAATGAATCAAAATTATACCTATTTTTTTCCGATCAACAAAAAATATATCTTTTTGGTGTGCCACAAAATTTTAGTAATTAGTTTATGTGTGCCACAAGATGAAAAAGGTTGAAAGTTGCTGGTCTATAAAGGTATTTGCTACTTTATTATTGTTTCCTAGATAAATATGAATGATGGAATAGATTTCTAGTTTGGCTTTACAGAACTGTTACACTATGACAAGTAGATGCATTTAAACGTATTAACTTACTAGCTGTTTCTTTGCTCTTATGAAACAAAATATGAGATGATGGCCTTCTCATTGGAAAGTAATAATGATCATTGGAAAACATCTTAACATATTGTTGAAACTAATTGTTACAAAGAAATTTAGAAACTGAAATTTCTCCTTTTGACAGCTGTTTAATAATAGTATTCTGTCTTCTTTGGCTTTCACTACTTCAAAAAAGCAAATGATGAAGAGGATAATAATAGCTGAAATCAGTGCTTTCTTGGTCCCAGGTTCTGAGCTGAGCATCTTTACTTGGGTTTTGTTATCCAGTTCTCGTGACAGCCTATTTTCATGAACAGGAGAGTAAACTGAGGCTTAGCGAGATGTAAGCACTTAGCCCAGGGTCACACAGCTAAGGTGTAACCAGAATTTGAACCCATACAGCCTGATTTTTAAGCTCAAACTCTTATATTTTCCTAATTTACTATAAATTTAAGAGGGACTAATTTCATTTTAACATATAACGTGTGATTTCTGGCTTTTCTTAATGGAAAGAAATTCTCGCTTAGAAAGGACAAGTGCCTGGGACATCCTAATGTTGCAGGAGGTTGGTAGGAGGTTTTTACACAAGCACAAGTTGTGTTTCAGTAGGGTGCCGATAATTGGCATAAGAGCAGTGCATCTGACAGTTTTCCCTATTAAAAATTTGTTCTGACAATTCTGCCAAAGTATGAGGGAAGGCAAATATCATTATTTTTAAAAATGTGAACCTTAACTAGAGAATACTATGATTTACATGTTTAAGTGCTATCATTTCAGCCTTATTTGCATGAGGTATTTTTTTCTGGATACTAGTTTTTGTGAAAATGTTGGTTCCTAAGTGGAATAACTTTTGTGCCACATACGGGAAGATTTTGTCATTAAAGAACGATCAGAAGGGACTGTTTTTTATGATAGGTGCATAATAAAAGCTGATTTTTTTTTTTTTAATTTTTTTTTGTGAGGAGGAGTGTGGCATTTGTTTCATATTAGAACTGGTAGAGTTGCAGATTATTTTCACTGTTACTAAAGTAAATTGTTTAAGATCAATAGGGATACTTCCAAAATCATTCCTCATACCTCAGCCTGTAAGTGTAGTTTGAAAACTTGCATGATAATTTGTATTATTAGATATCAGTTGGCTTTTAGAGGGCCAATTTTAATTTTCTTTATTTAAAAGAAAATCCCATAGTTTAAGCTAGTATTGTAAACAGAGCTGTAGTGGAACCCCTAATAAAATGTCTTTTGTCCTGGTTGTAGCCACTGAGTTTTAAAGATTTCTTATGGACATTTTCTTTAGAGACTGTAGATGTTTAACTTTGATGTTAAGTAAATGCTGGCTTAAAGGCTCATGCTATTTACAAGTTTATATACTTAAGTTTGTAGAAAATATCTGGTTGTTGGTGTGGATTAGTTAGTTTTACTGGGATTTCATTTAAAATAGTATTCATTGAAAACTTATCTCTATACCTTTAAATTGGAAAGGGTAATTTGGGAGTATTAGAAAACGGGCTTGAATATGGAGTATAACTATATTATTTCTACAGCTTTGGCTTCCCCTCAGGAAAGATCTCATAATGTGGAGGATTTGTGTAATTTTAATTTGGTATGATACAGACATTTGAGAAACTGCTTCGCAGCTGTGACTTGTAGGGATTCCTTTGGCTGCAACTTGCAATGAAAGGCGTTGGTATTTTTATTTACAAAGTCATTAGTCTGAAATCTTTGGGATGAGAAAGATAATTTAAAACAAAGCATTAACTTCTAGTCATTTTATAAAAAGCATTTTGCCTGAATTAATTTTTCCTCACTTAATACTATCAAATACCTACTGTGAAAAGATTTATTTTGTTTTTGAGCTCTGTGCCTCTGCGAGGCTGCCCTGTCTGTGGCCTTTCATTGGAAAGCAGGCTTGAAGAGACAGGAAGGCTGAGTAAGAATGGAAGCTCAGGAACTGGGAAAATTCCAATTTTTTGGGTCAGAACTCAGTCTTTTCCCTCCTACATTGCAGAAGGCACATCGTTTGTGTTTTGCATATTAGCATTCTTTCCTCCCTGACTGTCCTGAGATTATTGGCTGTTGGCTTTCCATTGAAAAATTAGTTTGTGGTAATGTGATGTGGTTTGTTAAATACTGTATATGTAGCATTCCTGGTTTCTGCTAAAGGCTTAAAAACACTAATGTTTAAACTTCTAAAGCAGAGTTTTGTTTTTGTGGATTTTTTAATATCATGTTGCATGTGATCAGATACCTCATTTTCTATTTTTTTTCAATGTTGAATGATAGAAAAAGTATTTCGATTAGCAAATAACTGAACAATCTGGGTGGTAACTTTATGTTATATAACCTATTGCTTTAAGAACTGAGTTTTAAATTTTACGTTTTATCTTATTCTTTTAGTGCAAGCTATATCCTCTGATCCGTTTGCTTGCAATCCTGCTTTTGGTAAAAAGTTAAATGTGGGAATGAAACTCAGTAGCATCTTTCATCTTTGATTCTCAGAAAACAGTAATTTTTCATTATGGAAATTTGGTTGGCACCTGCTTTCCAAGTTAGAAGTTGATTGAATGCCCAGGCATTTTGGTAACTGGCTTGTGTTTTCCTTCCAGCTTGTGCTCCCAGAGTACCTCATCCATGCTTTCTTCTGTGTCATGTTTCTTTGTGCAGCAGAGTGGCTTACCCTGGGCCTTAATATGCCCCTCTTGGCATATCATATTTGGAGGTAATGCTTAGATATACTTCTAATACTTTTCCTAATTAAATTCTAATTATACTATGGTTAATACAGTTAGCTTACATGCTGGTCACCTAACTGAAAATTGAAAATTAGTTGGCATTTATTTTAAAAATCAGGTAGATGAGCAAATAACTGATTTAATACCTCTTAGAGAGTTTACTTTATTACTCTTTAAAGGGTTTTTTAAATGAGGTATAACTTATATACAATAATGTGCACAGTCTGAAGTGTCCAGCTCAATGAATTTATACATATGTACACACCTGTGAGACCACTGTGCAGATCGAGACATCCAACAGTTCCAGCCCCTTCCCAGTCAGTTATGCCTGCACTTCCCAAAGAGAACCATTGACCTCTAAAACTAGATTAACTTTGCCTATCTTTGAACTTCATATAAATCCGTATGTACAGTGTGGATCTAACTTCTTTCTCCATGTTTACTTTATGACTTTAAATGTGGTTATTTATAAAAGATACTCATGTTTCATAACTTATAAAAGTTCTATCTGATCTATATAGAGTTAGAGTTTTTGTTTTAAATAGACATAAAAATCACATTGCCCTCGATTTTAGGAAATGTATACTGAAGAAGTGTTTAGGGGTCAAGTGATAGCATGTCTCTAGCTGACCCTGAAACGGTTACAAAAGAACGTGTATTTAGAGAGAACATGAGAGAGAAGGGTAAAGCAGGTATGGTAAGTGCAAGTATTCGGACTGTCAGGGCGATGTGAAAGTCTAAAATTGTTAAAATAAGTTTAAAAAAATCTTATTTCCTTTTTACAGTTATTCCTGTTTTTCTTGGATTTCTGATAAAGTGTAGAGGAGCGCAGATGTGACTTGTTTAGCTATCCTGTTCTGCTCATTTTAGGGCTCTAGTTTTAAAATTAGGACGATAAAAGGAAAGAACTCCATCTCTAACTAAAAGTAATCTTCCCTGTCTGGACCACATCTCGTAACAAATATTAGGGGAAACCCTCCTTCCCATCCTGAAGCTTTGCTCCCTTTCCAAGCGGCTAATAGACTGTGTTTATTACAGGTATATGAGTAGACCAGTGATGAGTGGACCAGGACTCTATGACCCCACAACCATCATGAATGCAGATATTCTAGCATATTGTCAGAAAGAAGGATGGTGCAAATTAGCTTTTTATCTTCTAGCCTTTTTTTACTACCTATATGGGTAAGTTTAAAAAATGAAATGAAAATAATGATACTTCACTTTGCCTCCTGAAAAGTTTGCAGATTGTTATGATCTTAACACCTTAGAATCCACTTGAAGAATGACTCAGTCAGTATCTTGAATGGTGGGAACTGGTAATGACTGCACACCAGCAAGTCCACACACACGGAATGTGAATATATGGTACTTGTCAAGATAGCCAGCTGGTGTCAGGACTGCTGCTTCCTAAGTTTTCAGATTTATTCAGTGAGTGAAGGACAGTCCTCATTCTCCATGGTGAAATGATGGCATTGGGAGGGTATTACTTGGTACATTTGTTAGAAAAAGTCAGTCTCAAGGTTGGGTTTAATTTTTTCCCCTGTCATTCTTCATGAACTGTACATGCTCTGCCCTTTATCTTCTAGTTTGCTTGATCTGAATGGGATGGATGAAAGAAGCAGTTCTATCTTACAGGATGGTGCAGTTACCAGTTTTTCTCCCTTTCTACCATGATAGACTCATGTCATTCCTCTAGGCCAGGGTTTCTCAACCTTGGCACTGTTGACATTTTAGGCTGGATAAATCTTGGTTGTGGGGAGCCGTCCTGTGCATCGTAAGATATTTAGCAGCATCCACATCCTCTGCCCACTAGCCAGTAGCATCCTCTTCCCCAGTTGTAATAACCAAAAATGCCTCCTGTGGGGCAGAATCGGCCCTGCCTGAGAGGCACTGCTCTAGGTGTGCTGTAGGTGAAATAAAATGGCTACTTGTTAGAACTAGAAGATATTGTCAGGTGTGGAATTACAGTTTTTGTTTAAGCAATATAAATACACTTTTCTCATCTTTTATTGATTTATATTTCCACCTGATTTTCAAAATATGAAGAAAATTAGCTCTATGAGATGAAATCGTTATAATAATTGGCTTCCATTTCCTCTCCTGTTTGTTACTTGAAAACTTGCTCACTATTCTATGGGAGGCTTATATTCATAGTTCTCTATACATCATATAAATTTCCATTGTAGAAAAGAATGCATGAAGGGCTAGACTGGAATTTAGGAAAAAGTTGTTCTTAAGCTCTTAGAGATTATAATTCTGAAAATGAGTATCCTTTAGTGTATCTACAGGTGTCACGCATGTGAAACAAAGATAGTGAATCACTTCTGAAAAGTGAAGTTCCATGTGTCATTTGTTCATTTTTAAGTTTCTGAAACAAATGTCTGGGACAGTGCTGGCATATAGTAAGTAGGCACTTAAAACATTGTTGAAGAAATTAATGATTGGATAAATGATAAAATTGGAGATGTAGTTGGGAAAATGTTCACCAGGTGGTGGTGGCACTAGGACATTTATTTCTGTTTAAAATTGTCTGTGCTCAACTCCTTGGTTTGTATTTCCATTTAGAGATACATGATTCTGAAGCACCCTTTTTCCATATCACTCTTTCTATAGAATTGTCTGGCAGTCCTTAAGCCTAAATCAAATGGATATTGCTTTTCATTTTGTCTGTCCTCTATTTTTAATTTTTTAAAAATGTTTTTATTGATTTTTAGAGAGGAAGGGAGAGAGAGAGAAACGTCAATGATGAGAGAATCTTTGATTGGCTGCCTCCTGCATGCCCCCTATTGGGGATCCAGCCCACAACCCAGCATGTGCCCCAACTGGGAATTGAACCGTTGATCTTTTGGTTCCTGGGTTGATGCTCAACCACTGAGCCACTCCAGCTGGGTTCCCCAGTTTTTTTTTTAATCCTGCTGTTGCCTAGACCCTTTCACTAATGGGAAAATTCCTTAATTGACCATTCTTATCTGTAAGATGGGGATAATAATAGTACTCGCCTCCTAGGACTGCTTGGAGGATTCCAGGAGGTCATGTGTGTGAAAGACCTAACGGCCTGGCAGGAAGCAAGCCCTTGGAGGTGCTCACTCCTATTAATAGACCCAATTCCCAAGTAGTGGGCTGTTTGGATTTCTCTAAGCTCAGATCCCCCTTTAAGCTTTCTGCTGTGCTTTTCTACTTGCTAAAATGGGAAAGGAAATAGGGGACAACTACAGCACATGTACCAAGCCAAGTCCTACCTTAGGCAAAAGCCCGTAAATGCCAGTTAAAATCATGTTGTGAACTTGTCACTGATCTTTTTCTTTTCTGTGATGGTGTGATACCACAGACTTGTGTAGTGTATAGAACAGACTCAACTTTTTGGTGCTTTTAGTTTATAATGAGGAATGTTTAAATTAACAGCCTTTTTCTTCTTTTCAGCATGATCTATGTTTTGGTGAGCTCTTAGAACAACACACAGAAGAAGTGGTCCAGTTAAGTGCATGCAAAAAGCCACCAGATGAAGGGATTCTATCCAGCAAGATCCTGTTTCCAAGAGTAGCCTATGGAATCTGATCAGTTACATTAAAAAATGACTCCTTATTTTTTAAATGTTTCCACATTTTTTGCTTGTGGAAAGACTGTTTTCATATGTTATACTCGGATAAAGAATTTAAATGGAATTACGTATAAATTAATATAAAGTGCTTACCTCTGGTGTTGACAGGTTTGAACTTGCACTCCTTAAGGAACAGCCGTAATCCCTTGAATGATCGCATTAATTACTGACTGTCCTTAATCCATCGGAAGCTTTTGTTTATAGGAACTTGTAGGGCTCATTTTGGTTTTATTGAAATGCTATCGAATTACAAATTAGCTGTAGACACCAGGTGCTTCTGATGAACTGAAAATATATATCTGATCTGTGGGAAACTTCATGGGTTCCTCATGTATCATGTAGATGATTGTATATGGATACATTAAAAAAATAAGAGTGGGATGTTTTCCCTTTAACTTGAATATTATCCCTGTACATTGCATGAATGAGAGATTTCCCATATTTCCATCAGAGTAATATACTTTAATTCATAAGCATAAGTGAATAGGATGTAAAGACATATGCTGAATTACTTATGAAGAATGCATTTAAAGCTATTTTAAATGTGTTTTAATTTGTAAGGCATTACTTATTAAGAAATTGGTTATTATACTTATTGTTTTAATCTGGTGGTAAAGGTAGTCTTAAGAGTTTGCAGGTACTTCAGATTTATAAAACGGAATGAAAGAGAACATTGTAAAACCGTTCTGCTGTTCCTTTAGTGCAATACAATAAAACTCTGAAATTACGACTTATTTTCAGTGCATTGTTTTAAAGATTATAAATAGCGATTTCATAAACTTGTTTAATCCACAATAAAGACATATTACTGTCAATTTTTTTATAAAATAGAGTATTACATTGTTGTTTTTTTAAATACCATGTCTGGATCAAAAAGCAAGATGTTTAAGTGACTAAGCACATTACCTTCTCTGGTCACTTGTCAAGATTCATAACCATTGATGGCACCGCATCATTTTTCTTACCAATTTCAAAAACTGGCACTTAAAATGCTCTAAATTTTTTTGCCTTCTTGAAACAGCAGGTTTTAAGGTAAAATGTCTTAATTGTTGCTGCTGCTCGTAAGGCAGGTGAATTATGGCCTGCACCTTTTTTTGAGCATTTTTGTGCTTCATTTGGGATAAGGAAGTTCAGGCCATTGGGGCTGTGCACGTGGTTCAGAAGTTTCCTAAACAATGGAAACCGATATATAGAAGTTGCACGTAACGATCCAAGGTGTTTCTGGATGTCTGTGGAAGCCTAAGAGCCCCTTACATCTAAGAATTAGATGGTGTTTCACTCTCAGTGAAGAACGCTTCCCCACATGGGGGGAGGAGCCATCACTGTTGGGGCCAGGTAGTGGAGGCGAGCGTGCTGAGGACGTAGAACCAGAATGAGGACCATCACCCCGTCTCATAGTGAGCGGCTTGCCAGACCTTGTATGTTAGTCTGCAGAACACCTCGAGGGATCTGTTGGTCAGTTCATGCAGTAAATTCTTTACTGAGCATGTGCTAGGCACTGAAGATTTATGTTCTGAATATGAGGAGTCATTCAGTTTCCACTCCACCTGATTAGATCAGTACCTACTCCTGATTTTTCTTTCTTGTTCACAACTGCTTTTGATCATGAGAGACCTGGCCAAGTCTTCTATCCACCAGATAAGTTTCCTGGGGCTTTCATAATCCTGTCCAAGTATTTTCAAAACCTTGTGTTTGAACAAACATCCTTTTAATAACGTAGTCCAGAATATTCTCCAGGATCAATGCAAGGTTTACTGGTTGTGATTTGTGGAAGCCATCTTTCCATGCTTCAAAAATCAGATATGTAGTCCTTAGCTGATTCCTCAAAGATGATTGCCCATGAGGGTCACCCATCTTGGTGGTAGGTTGTTAGTTCCTAGGCATGTGATTAGAACATTGAGTACTTGGATGGTCTCATATTTACTCATCTTTACCTTCTCTAGTGTTTTATGCAATTAAATCCCTTATGGGAGAAAGCAGAAACAAAATACTTGCATTTGACAATATCCCTTTATCTCTTTTCCTTGCTCTGAATTTATTTTGTGCCCCCCCCCCC